ATAGAACAAAAAAAAAATAAGGCCCATGAGCCATGAGATAGAAATTAATAAATCATAAATAGAGTTCAGGTTCGAATTCCATAGAAAATATGAATAGTTATTATCTATAATGAAAAACAAATGAAGGCTTCCCAAAGCCTTTTGTTATTTATTCTTATTCTTCTATTCTTATTCATCCACATTGATAGGTTTATCTATTTAAAAATGAGTTAGCTTTTTGAACTTGAAAATATCACTCATTGAAGTTTGAAAATTAAGTAAAACAATTGAATTCGGGTTTGTATAGATGGGTTTTCAACGAACGATAATCGTGATTACAAACTCCCAAATTCTTTACTCAAGTTATCGATCAACTTGCCGAATTCCAACATTTTATTTTGGGACTAGAAAATTTTGAAAAAAAATTTTTCGACATATTTTTATTTTTATTATACTGAGAATCAATCCTTACTACATCTGGTTCCGGGATTCCCGCCGCTTGAAAAAAAAGAAACCTGGGGCGTATTTCGCTCCAAATCATTGGGCCAGTACTAGATGGTAGCTGTTATTCCCCGTGCGCAAGATGCCTATAATATTTACAAAACGCTTCTAGTAGTTAGGGTCGAGATACTGTCGCGGCAAGAATTAATGTGACTCTGTGAAGTACAACAATTATTAGGAAATAATTCGAGTTCGGGCTGTAGCTATGAGTTGCTACAGATGTCTTAACGCGAGGAATGGAAGTGATTGACACAGGGCTCCTCTAAGTGTTCCAGTTGGTGGGGCCGACTCTAGGAAGAATTTTCAAACGTGCTTGGAGACCTGTTGATGATTTAGGTCCTGTAGATGAGCGTGCGCGCAAATCACCTATTTCATAGATCTGCACCATGCTTTTATACAATTAGATACAAATTATCTATTTTTTGAAACCAGGAATTAACAGTAGTAGATCTTTTAGCCCCTATCGCCGTGGAGGAAAAATCGGACTATTCGGGGGGAGCTGGAGTGGCGTAAAACAGTACTTATTATGTGAATTTAATCAACAACATCGCGAAAAGCTCATTGGAGCGGGGTATCCGTATTGGCGAAGTAGGCGAACGAAACTCGTGAAAGGAAAATGATCTTTACATGGAAATGAAAGAATCTGGAGTAATTATCAAGAAAAAATATTGCAGAATCAAAAGTGGGCTCTAATAGTCTATGGTCAGATGAACGAACCGCCGGAGCTCTGTATGAGAGTTAGGTGGACTGCCTAACTATGGCCGAATATTTCCGCGAGATGTTAATGAACAAAGAGATCGTTAGCTCTATTTTATCACGAGCCAATATCTTCGTTCGTCAAGCAGGGATCCGAAGTATCCGCCTATTGGGTAGAATGCCTTCTGCTGTGGTTATCAACCTACCCTTAGTACCGAAATGGGTTCTTACAAGAAAGAATTACTTCCACCAAAGAGGGTCCATAAACTTCTATTCAAGCCAGTTTATGTACCTGCGGACGATTTGACTGACCCTGCTCCTGCCACGACATTATTGCACATTTTAGATCTGACTAGCATTATGTACTATTTTACAAAGAGGAATAGCTGCTACAGGTATCTATCCAGCAAGATCGATCCTTTCTAGATTTCAACATACAACTATTGTCTCCAACCTCAGAACGTAATGGTGTCAGGAACATTACTTGAAAACTGCGACAAAGGAGGTTAAGCAAACATTTACACGGTACTAAAGAACTTCAGGGACATCCTATAGCTATTCCTTGTGGCTGTGACGGATATCTATCCCCATTATAGCTATCCTTGGGTTGGACGAATTGTCCGAAGAGGATCGCTTAACCGTAGCAAGAGCGCGAAAAATTGAGCGTTTCTTATCACAACCCTTTTTCGTAGCGGAAGTATTTACCGGTTCCCCGGGGAAATATGTTGGTCTAGCAGAAACAATTAGAGGATTTAAATTGATCCTTTCCGGAGAATTAGACGGTCTTCCTGAACAGGCCTTTTATTTGGTAGGTAACATCGACGAAGCTACTGCGAAGGCTACGAACTTAGAAATGGAGAGCAAATTGAAGAAATGACCTTAAATCTTTGCGTACTTACCCCTAATCGAATTGTTTGGGATTCAGAAATTCAAAAGTGAAAGAGATAATTTTATCTATTAATAGTTAACAAATTAGCATATTATCAAATTATGCGCTTATTGCCACATCAGTCGATACCGATATTTTGAGAATACGCCTTAATGCCAAATGGTTAACAATTGTTGGTTGTGCAAGAATAAACAATAATGAGATTACTGTTTTAGTAAATGATGCATAGCATTAGGAAAGGACTAAAAGTAGTTGTCTTTTTTTATGTCCATGTTAATTATATGTAGAGGACTTCAAAGTTCAAATCGATTTTATAATCCAAAATTCTGTAAAAATGCGATAACAACAAAATATGCATATATTTTATAGAGGCAGGTGAACTCACTAAGGTGTGCCCCATTTTCTTTCGCCTAGCCTGCAAGAACAGCATACCTTTCTTTCTTTTTGTTCCCACCTAGGGTTTTCTTTGAATAGAAAGCTGTTCAACTTGTTGGGATTATAACTGATTCTGAGTGGGCCTGTAAAAAATACCGGTGGTAAAAGTAAAATAAAATTACTATTATCATATGTACCTCCAATAATTTCGTATTGGATATTGACAAAAGAAATCAATAAAATAAGGTAAAAAAAATAAGGTGGGTTAAAAAAACTTATTCTTTATTAGATAACATGGATTCTGAATATCTAATAAGTTCTACCTACTATTGGATTTGAACAATGAACTCCGCCCGTATGAAGCAAACTGCCACTGAGTTAAGTAGGTCATTTATTATCATAAGGAATCATAAAGAGAAAGAAAAGGGACCTATTACATCGATGGATTATAAATCCAATATTACTTCTAAGCAATACCAATCAAACCGACCAAAAGGGTATGATTATGATGTTGGATCATGTAATATTCATCTTGACAAGAAATTATCTACATAATATGATAAAATATGTATCACAAACACAAGGGCTATAGCTCAGTTGGTAGAGCACCTCGTTTACACGTGCGCCAATGTTTTTCAGGGAAGTCTATCATGCAATCAAAAGAATTGATCTTTTTGAGAAATCGATGTCTTACTCCATTACTTTGAAGGAACAAAACAAGAGAACAATAGCCTGACAAATGGTTCGGTCCGATTCGGGTGCCGTTTAGGCAAGATCCGAATCGAACCCATCATTGATTTGAGATATTGATAGGGTGAATACCCGGTCTATTCAATGCTAGGCATAATGAGTATAAGGACCTCAAAAATGCTCTTTTCGTCCTATGAATCTTAAGGTGTATGAAGTTTCATGTTTGATTTTTTAATCAGGATGGTAGAGACTCCATTTAACTTAGGTTGATCTAGGCCAGAAGCAGACCTACGTCAAGATAACCCTTCCCCTCTTTGAAACACTTTGGAAGTGCTCCTGTATCAGTAATGAATCAGAGCACAATGAATCAGAGCACACGGAACCGTCTTCTTTTTTTCTGTTAGAAAAAAATATATATACGGTAGACTAACTGATATTTCTATCAGTTAATGAAAGAGCCCAATGCAAAAAAAAAAATGCATGTTGGGTCTTTGAAATAGGCCGAATCATTTTGATAATAATCAGTTCGATCTGTTTTACCGAGAAGGTCTACGGTTCGAGTCCGTATAGCCCTATATTTTCGAATTTTCTATTTTATTAATTTTAAATATTCATTAAATTTATTAAATTAAGAAAAATGAAAATAATATTCTTAAAACTAAAGCAAACTAAAACAATAAAATAAAGAATATCCAAATCCAACTAAAAATAAAAATAGAGTTTTTTTCCTAATTATTGTATTCTTTGTTGATTGGAACTGGTCGCTTCCAGTTGCTTGGTTAAAATCATTCCCATAAGCTCGCTCACAGGGAGATCACTCAGAGTATAACCCTGAAAACAAAAGCGCATTTCAACGGATCCAATCGCTCTTTTTTTTTCTTGGATAAGAATAAAATAAACAAAACCCCATTTTCTTAATTAATCCTCGCGGGTAGATTGATTTTTGATTGATTCTATATAAATAGATATAAAATAAAAAATTTCTATTTATTCGAAATCTATAATTTCGAATTTCTATTTAGAATAAATAGAATTTCGAATTAAAAGTTTTTTTATTTCTTCTAATAAATATTAGATATTTTTTTTTATTTTCTAATAAAATTTAAAATTAAAATTTCTAATAGAATTAATAGAATTTGAAAATAGAATTTCAAAATTCTAAACAACTAAACAAAAAATGAAAATTTTCTATTTTGAATTCCCCCTTTTGTAGAAAGAATCCGAAGTAATTACTTTTGAAAAACAACCTAGCCTTGATATTCCTTTTCATTTAAAACCTATTATTAGGTATTTACTTTTGCTACTACTAGCTTCTGGAAAATCAAAATAAATCTATTATTAGGTATTACGTGTTTTCCATAGAAATAATGTGAATGCAAGACTTAACGTTAAAGGAAGACTTCTTTTTTGTTAGAAAACTACACTTTTGTTGCACATAGGAGTTCGTCTATGTTTCTGCTTTACGAATATGATATTTTCTGGGCATTTCTAATAATATCAAGTGCTATTCCTATTTTGGCATTTCTAATTTCTGGAGTTTTAGCCCCGATTAGAAAGGGTCCAGAAAAACTTTCTAGTTATGAATCGGGTATAGAAAATATGATATATTCTGGGCATTTTCTAAAATAATATCAAGTTGCTATTCCTATTTTAGCATTTCTAATTTCCGAGTTTTTATCCCCGATTAGCAAAGGGCCGGAGAAACTTTCTAGTTATGAATCGGGTAATAGAACCAATGGGCGATGCTTGGTTACAATTTCGAATCCGTTACTATATGTTTGCTCTAGTTTTTGTTGTTTTTGATGTTGAAAACCGTTTTCTTTAATCTAGTTTTTGTTGTTTTTGATGTTGAAACGGTTTTTCTTTATCCATGGGCAATGAGTTTCGATGTATTGGGGGTACCCGTATTCATAGAAGCTTTCATTTTCGTGCTTATCCTAATTGTTGGTTCAGTTTATGCATGGCGAAAAGGAGCATTGGAATGGTCTTAGTTCCTGAATATTCAGATAATAAAAAGAAAGAAAAAAGTCAAAATAATAATAACATTGAGTATGAATTCCATCGAATTTCCCTTACTTGATCGAACAACCCAAAATTCAGTTATTTCAACTACATTAAATGATCTTTCAAATTGGTCAAGACTCTCCAGTTTATGGCCGCTTCTTTATGGTACCAGTTGTTGCTTTATTGAATTTGCTTCATTAATAGGCTCACGCTTCGACTTTGATCGTTATGGGCTGGTACCAAGATCGAGTCCTAGACAGGCAGACCTAATTTTAACAGCTGGAACAGTAACAATGAAAATGGCGCCCTCTTTAGTGAGATTATATGAACAAATGCCCGAACCTAAATATGTTATTGCTATGGGCGCGTGTACAATTACAGGAGGGATGTTCAGTACTGATTCTTATAGTACTGTTCGGGGGGTCGATAAGCTAATTCCCGTGGATGTCTATTTGCCGGGCTGTCCCCCTAAACCCGAGGCAGTTATAGATGCTATAACAAAACTTCGTAAGAAAATATCTCGCGAAATCTATGAAGATCGAATTAGATCTCAACAGGGGGATCGGTGTTTTACTACCAATCACAAGTTTTGTCTTGTACGCAGTACTCGTACTGGAAATTATAATCAAGGATTGCTCTATCAACCACCATCTACTTCAGAGATTCCTCCTGAAACATTTTTCAACTACAAGGGTTCACTATCTTCCCACGAATTAGTAAATTAGGTAGGATTTTTTTTTTTTACAGAAACAGACAACGAATTAATCTTCATAAATTCGATTTCATCATAAATGCGAAATACTTATCTTATAAAAATGACAAATTTTTTTTTTTTTTTTTTTACTATCGGTATTCGAATTCTAGTACTAGGGACCACTTAATCCAGTTTAAGATTTAGTCACAGTTAAGATTCATTGATATCGAAAAAAAATTTGAAAATCAAAGTAAACGTAATGGAAAAATTATAGTCGATGAATCTTGAAACGAAACATGTACCGAAGCAAACAAAGAAAACTAGGTGGTTGAATCAAAATAAATTGTTATTTTGACTAACCCGTTATGGATGAGTTAGGAATTAATTCTAATTCGACTCAACTAATTTAGTATATTTTCCACATTCAAGTATTTGCCCCAAGGAAGAATCCTAGAATTCCGTCTCTTTTTCTGGGTTTGGAAAAGTGCGGATTTTCAAGAAAGGGAATCTTATGATATGCTGGGAATGGGAATTCTTTTATGATAATCATCCGCGTCTGAAACGTATCTTAATGCGGAAAAGTTGGGTAGGGTGGCCCTTACGGTAAAGATTATATGCTCCCAATTTTTACTGAAATAGCCAAGAAACGCTCATTGAATAATTAGAAACTAATCTTCAGTGTTACAACTCCAGCTATTCAAGGGAATATTTGTACACTCTCTTATAGATCAAACAGAATCAATTGAAGTCTCAATTCATATTATTATGGAATAGACTAAAAAAAATAATAATAAATACAAAATAATGATAATACAATTAGGGATTCGTTGAATTCTCCAATTTTAATTTTTGAAGATATTTTAATTTCGACGAAGTCGAGCTATAGGATGAACTAAAACCGAATTCTGCATTATGCCACTTTGTACCGCGCACATCCCTTAGATTCCCTTAAGATGAGCTATATAAGTCACATAACATAGGATGGATGAGAAATAGAATATGAAAGAAAATAAATACAAAGAAATGAAAGAGGATCGGATTCTATTTATACTGTATCTGAGATGAAACTTGGATAGTTCCACCGCTTCAACTTCTATAGACTAAGATTTTTAGGTCTTTAACCTAACTAATTTCACTTTACCTTTAACCCTTTCGAATCTATATGAAGTACTAACATTAATTTTCTTTTTGAACGAGAGGAAGACACATTATGAACAATCAAATAAAAAAGAGGAGGAAAACATAATCTAATTTTTTTTACAATACTTTTTTTTTATTTTATAACATAAAACTCTTTACTGCATCTAACTCTAAAAAAAAAAAAAAGGCTATATCTAACTATATCTCCTCCAAGACATTTAATATGGATAAGTTAGTAATATCACGATCAATACTATACCATGAATATGTTATGCTGGTCTATAATCAGATCTATATCAATTAATTTTGAATCTATATCAAATTAATTTAATTAAGTAATTCAATTTTAATTAAGTAATTAAATTAAAGATACTCCCATACACAAATTTATCATGTGCAGGAACCACGACCTTGACTGGTGACACGAAGGATTTTTCAGTCCTCTGGCATCCTACCTGCTGAGCTATTCCCCGACCATTTTCGACGTGACGTCTTTGCCTCCAATTTTACTAAAGCGAACTTGGGTCTAATGTCAATTTTAAAAAAGATGAAAAAAAAGTATTCTAAAGTCTTATCCCAGACCTGGAATGCTTTTTGTATCCTTAAAAAAAAAAAAAAGATAAAAAAAAAGAAAGAAGAAAAAGATGACTTCGTAAATTTCAGTTCGAATAATGATTTGGATTGTTATCATTCCAATTTCCCAAACGGGGATTCCTTGTTTTTTTGCTCAAAGATGGTTTATTTGTAATGTGTATCATATCTAATCACAAAAGACTTGTGAAAAAAAATTCAGTCTGGATATGTTTGTGAAAAACGAATGAAATCGAGAAAGATAACGAATGAACCGTTAATGAAAAGAGAGAATAGGATAAAAATAATTAGGGGAGTCGAACGGTGCCTTTTTTGGGGATAGAGGACTTTGAACCCCTCACGATTTTTAAAGTCGACGGATTTTCCTTGCTTAGTATTAAAATTTCCTGTTGGTCGATCATTGACATGTAGAATGGGACTGATATCTTATTCTCGTCCGATTAATCAGTTATCTACAGAACTATGGAGCGAATGATTTGATCAATTAAAATTCAATTCCTTTCTTTCAACTTGGAATCAATTCAAAAACAATTTTTTTTTATTTCATTTTTTCAATATAATATAAAGATAAAAATTTCATATAAATATAATAAAAAAAAAATATGGATTCGGCCGCCTATTAATCATTTCTAATCATTTTGAGATATGTATTTCTACGTATACAATAGAAATACTAGGGTTATCCTTTACTTTAATCCTTTCTGGAGTTTTTAACGGAAGGATTCCTTTCCTTTACTTTACTAATGCAACGTTGCGCCAACTCCATTTGTTAGAACAGCTTCCATTGAGTCTCCGCACCTATCCTTTTTTTTTATTCGTCTTTTTTGGAAACCTTGTTTGTTTTCGGAAAAAGGATTTTGGCTCAGGATTTGCCCATTTTTAATTCCAGGGTTTTCTCTGAATTTTGAAGTTATCACTTAGTAAATGTTTCCATACCAGGCTCAATCCAAATTAAGTCCGTGCGTCTAACCAAAAATTTCGCCATATCCCCTTTTTGTTTTGAGATTAAGATCTTTTATTACTATACCATTTTCTCATTTATTATTCTACTGGAACGTGTTGAAGTCATCAGATACCGATTTCCTATAAAAAGTGTTTTCCTCTTTTTTTTTTTTTTTTTCGTGGCTATCTTCTTCATCTCTATCCAGAGCCCCCTAATTTAGTTTTAGTCTAATCAGAAAGGATTCTATCATTTCTATATTCGCAATTCAATATAGATGTATAATATACCAGCATTTATTATATATACTTCTCTTACTCTCATTTTTTCTCATGCCAATTTTGAATACTCGAACGATCGATCTTTTTCTTTTTTTTTTTCATATTTCATATTAAATTATGAAAATTCTTAAAATAACTAAAGAATGAAAATAACTAAACTAAGAAATGAAAATAACTAACAATGAAAAGAAATTAAAAAGCTAATAGCCAAGATTCGCAATTAGTTACTAAATTCCTATACATGGTACAATTTCTGTTATGTGAGCCGCGCCTAGCTCAGAGGTTAAGAGCATCCGCATTTGTAATGCGATGGTCATCGGTTCGACTCCGATAGCTGGCTTTTTCTCTATTTGTTTTTACAGCGATTGATAATGTTTTTTTTTTGAAAATCAAAAGATATTGAAAAGGCTTCTTTCCCTTTTTCCAAGGGTGACCGATTATTATGTGGTAGGAACTTCAATTAATGAATAAAAAGTTATGAGTAGTTTAAATCCCTCCTGGCAGAAAAAGAAAAAAAAATCAAGAAACACGAAAAGGACCTTTTTTATATATACATTATTGGTATATATAACAATAAGGTCGGATATTGATAACAACCCATCTCATTATTTACAATACAAAAAAACAAAAAAGTAAAGTATGGATATTGATCCAATTCATCTCATTAATATTTGTAGTACAATCCTTCAGTCGATTTCGCTTCATTTAGTTCAGTTTTAATTTCGGTTTATGAAATTTCAATAAAATTCAAATTAATAAGGAGTCCTTATGTCACGTTACCGAGGGCCTCGTTTCAAAAAATACGCCGTCTCGGGGCTTTACCGGGACTAACTAGTAAAAGGCCTAGAGCCGGAAGCGATCTTAGAAACCAATCGCGCCCCGGTAAAAAATCTCAATACCGTATTCGTTTAGAAGAAAAACAAAAATTGCGTTTTCATTATGGCCTTACAGAACGACAATTACTTAAATACGTTCGTATTGCCAGAAAAGCCAAAGGGTCAACAGGTCAGGTTTTACTACAATTACTTGAAATTTGAAATGCGGTTGATAACATCCTTTTTTCGATTGGGTATTAGCCGTCAACTATTCCTCGAGCACCGCCAATTAGTTAATCATAGACTATTTAGTTAATGGCCCTATAGTAGATATACAAGTTATCGCTGCAAACCCCGAGATGTTATTACAGTGAGGGATGAAACAAAAAATGCTAGAGCTATGATTCCAAATTAATCTTGATTCAATACCCCCAAAGAGGGAATTTGCCAAAACATTTTTGAACTCCTTCACCCAATCCAATATAAAGGATTGGTCAATCAAATAAATAGATAGTAATGGGGTGGCGGTTGGTTTGAAAATAAATGAATTGCTTGTCGTAGAATATTATTCTCGTCAGACTTAAACCTAACTAAAATAACAAAACAAGGGTTCTGCCCCCTTTTCACCTGAGTTAAGGTTAAGTAAAGGAAGACAGGGGAATGGGTTTGATTCGGAGATTTTTCTCCTATTCATGTATGATAGATACGTAAGGAGATTTTCATCCCCTGTATGCTATTTTACGCATTCCATATTAAAAAGGAATTGGGAATAGAGAATCTATACTAAAGAAGGGTCTAATTCTTTAGTATATGTTCTTATTTGATACATTGTAGTCAGTTACATTGGCGAATTAGGTGAAGGTGCGGAAAGAGAGGGATTCGAACCCTCGGTAAACAAGAGTCTACATAGCAGTTCCAATGCTACGCCTTGAACCACTCGGCCATCTCTCCTACATAATTATTATGGCCGATACCCCGAGCGAATAGCGAGTTACTCATATTAGATTGTTCGATAGGTACGAACAATATCAATTCTAACTAGGAAACTTGCTATAAAAATAGAAAACTTTTCATCACTTTTTTTTTATCACTTTTTCTTTAGCCTCCGGGCTCGAAGAATTTTTAAAAAATGGAATGGGTCTACTTTTATGTTATTTCGTACTGTACACTTCCTTTGTTTGTGAGATTATTTTCTCACGAGGGGTAATGAAAAGAGTTATAGAATGGATTGCTACCTATGCCTAGATCGCAGATAAATGGAAATTTTATTGATAAGACCTTTTCAATTGTAGCCAATATCTTATTACGAATAATTCCGACAACTTCAGGAGAAAAAGAGGCATTTACTTATTACATGGCATTTACTTATTACAAGAGATGGTGTGGAATTTTTTTGATTTTTTTTATTTACACCTCAAGTCTTAGGAGAAGACACATTAGTCGGGAGAGAAAAGATTTGGAATAACTCTAGACTTGTTTGAAAAGGTGAAGTTTATCGTTTATAAATAAAAAATCCCTTCTCCTTCTGTCGTGTATCCCCGATTAATGCAACCTCAGATGCTTCAATTGTTGATTCGAGTATTGAGCGAAAGGTTACACCTATGGGTCTGTATTGTGGGTCAACCCTACTACACTAGTACCAATAGGCGGCATAGAGGAAGAAGCACTACGCCTAGGAATCAACAACACGAAAACTTTGTTATTAATGATTCCCTTTCTTTATCGGGATCGGAACTAAGAGAAATGGTTGGGACAACAAACATCCATCTTGTTCGTACTTTGGATACCCATATAACCATCGAAGATTGTTGAAGTGACTAATTCCTGGAAATTAAGGAGCGTTGAGAACAAAGAAATTGTTGGAGTTTACTTTTTTATCTAGTACGAACACGCTTGATGGTAAGAAAAGATCTTTTGCAAGAGGGTTGGCTAGAGATTTCTTGTAAAAACATTAGCCCCGCTCAGTTCATAATGACAATATTTCGACCTTTTTTTTAATTCCATGGATTATTCTCATTATGCACATAAAGGAGGAGCCGTATGAGGTGAAAATCTCATGTACGGTTTTGGAACGGAGAATTCTTTGAATCGAATGACGACCGTAACGGATGTCGGCTCAATCCGAAGGAAATTATGCGGAGGCCTTACAGAATTATTATGAAGCTATGCGACTAGAAATTGATCCCTATGATCGAAGTTATATACTATATAACATAGGCCTTATCCACACAAGTAATGGAGAGCATACAAAAGCTTTAGAATATTATTTTCGAGCACTAGAACGAAACCCGTTCTTACCACAAGCTTTTAATAATATGGCTGTGATCTGTCATTACGTGCGACTATCTCCACTATAGAAATAAAAAAAGGAAAGAAAGAGCAAATACGCTAGTAAATAAATACGCTAGTAAATAAACACGCTAGTAAATAAAATACTAGAAAAAAAAATAGGCTTTCTACATATTGCATCGTCCAAAAAACGATTTTTATCAGCTGTAACAAAAAAAGAAACTTCATAGAAGTCGAAATATGAAGAAATATATATGCCTAGATACTTTATTCTATGGATAAAGATCTAATTGATAGAGGAAGCACCGTAAAGATCAATTAGCGAGGTTTTGAGCCGATACAATAAATAAGAACTGCTTATATGTAACAGAGTTGATCTCCTAAAGTATTGAGCAACGGTGTAGCACTAGATCCCAAAGAGAGTAAGTCTTTCTGTTGAGGGAAGGTCTTTTTCAAAGATTCTATATATATTTATATATATTAAATATAGTTAACAATATATAATATATTTAATAATATATTTAAATAATATATTTAATATTAAATTTCTATTTTATATTAAATATATTATTAAAATATATTTAATCAACTTGAGTCTTATTGTTTCGGGCACTAAAAAAAGGAAATAAAAATTGTTTCAACCACAATATCTCACACTAAGTGGCAAAAATAGCAGCACAATGCCATTTGGTTTCTAGGAAAGACAATTGTAAAACAATGCACTGTGGAACGGAAAAGCTTTGTTTGGGTTAAGGGGTGAGGTTTGTGCAAAAGTTGATTTAGGACGATTTAAAAAATTTAATGGTGTTGTCCCTTGTAGCAACTCAAGAAGGGGATGACTCATGGTGTGAATCATGATTTCAGGAAAGTTTAAGGAATGACCTTGTAAGAGACAAGTGATTAGACACATATCAGCATAAGTAAGATTACTCTTATGTCAAGCCCTAAGTACAATCTCATTGGAGATATAAGATACACCACCTTAAAAATGGCAGGCAGTTCTGCAGCTAATAACTAATAGCAGACCATGAGATTAGAGATTGCAATTCAAAAGAAAAACAACTTTTTTTTTTTATTTAAAAACTCAATTTTTATATATTCTCAACCCAAAAAAAAAAAAAAAGGAAAACACCACCATATTAACCAGCAGCAATAGCAATACATTAGCAGGAGAAAAATAAGATGAACTTATACGCAGAAACAGGTCTTAAGTGGATCTAAAACAGTTGTTTTAAGTGTTAAATAAAAGGGTAAATATCCAAAATCAGTTATGATTAGAAATTAAAATCACGAAACCAAATTTAAAAAACAATTGCCCTAAACTAAGTTCACAGAAAGACTTATTCAATGAAATTTTTTTTTTTTTTTTTTTTTTACTTTGAATGACCTAAATATAGAATAGATTGAATGCCTAAATATAGAATAGATCCCGACATGTCTCTTAGTAATGATGAATGACCTCTCACCTGATTTGGAATAGAGTAATAGTAATATGTTCTATGTAAAGTAACACATAAGTAAAACATAAAGTAGTCTCTACTAGAAACTTAATTTTAATTAAGATAGGAATACACAAGGTTGCAAGGTTGCACAAAAAATTGTTTTTGCGTTAATTCAAAGCCTAGAAAGGTCTGTTAAGCGCCTCATGCCAATGTCATAATAGTCCGAACACTTGCCCTGGATAGACTTCTAGATCATATTTGCTCTAGTGAATAACTAATGAAACTAGATAAATGGGAGATAGAAGAGAAAGAAACTAATTATATTATAAGCATCTCTCATAGGTTCACTAATACTTGACTTGACTGTTGGAAGGTCTCTTTATATGTGTTGTTCGGAAAGAGGAGAACTCAATGATTATTCGTTCGCCAGAACCAGAAGTCAAAATTTTGGTGGATAGGGATCCCTTCAAAACTTCCTTCGAGGAATGGGCCAGCCCCGATCATTTCTCAAGAATAATAGCTAAGGGACCTGATACTACCACTTGGATCTGGAACCTACATGCTGATGCTCACGATTTCGATAGCCATACCAGTGATTTGGAGGAGATTTCTTGAAAAGTATTTAGTGCTCATTTCGACCAACATTTCGGCCAACTCTACATCATCTTCTTTGGCTGAGTGGCATGTATTTCCACGGTGCCTCGTTTTTCCAATTATGAAGCAATGGCTAAGTGATCCTACGCTGAGTGATCCTACTCACATTGGACCTAGTGCTCAGGTGGTTTGGCCAATAGTGGGCCAAGAAATCCTGAATGGAGATGTGGGCGGAGGCTGGGGGGGGGGGGGAATAACCTTCGATTCTTTTCAGCTTTGGAGAGCATCTGGAATAACTAATGAATTACAACTGTATTGTACTGCAATTGGTGCATTGGTCTTTATAACTTTAATGCTTTTTGCTAGTTGGTTCCATTATCACAAAGCTGCTCCAAAATTAGCTTGGTTCCAAGATGTAGAATCTATATTGAATTACCATTTAGCGGGACTATTAGGACTCGGGTCTCTTTCTTGAGTGGGACATCAAGTACATGTATCTTTACCAATTAACCAATGATAGCCTCGCAAAGCGGGAAAATTTGTTAAGTTATAATCGCATGATTTGCATGGTTGCGTGTTTGTTTTTGTACATTTTAGGTTTTCTTGTGTTGTTTTTGGTTTAAAGTTGTTTTAGGAATGAATTTGAACAAAGGATTGGAAAATGCTTGTTTTTAAGAAGAAAAGAATAAAAAGAAAATCATTTATTTCATATTGATTTATATGTTACCACATGTGTTTAGAGAATCATTTATTTCATATTACACGTTTTGCTACAGAAAAAGAAAATCTATTGCATGCTCAATTCTTCTAAGTATTCTACTATATCTTTATCAATAGAATTAAGTAGTATATTTAATTAAAGTTTAAATAGGATCATATTTTAATCATTTCATGTTTTATTACTGTAAACATAAGTGTTAAGAATAAGTAGTAAGTGGACATAACCTGTTCCTCATGGGTTCGATCTTTTTATTACTACGTTGTGATCCGTATACTTGCGGCTAATCAAGGGTGCAACAACCAATTTCTAAACGCTGGGGTGTATCCTAAGGAAATCTCCCTTCCTCATGAATTTATCTTGAATCGAGATCTTTTGGCTCAACTTTATCCTAGTTTTGCTGAGGGAGCAACCCCATTTTTCACATTGAATTGGTCAAAATATTCGAAATTTCTTACTTTTCGTGAAGGATTAGATCTAGTGACTGGGGGTTTATGGCTGAGCGATATTGGATACCATCATTTAGCTATTGGAATTCTTTTCATGATAGCGGGTCAAATGTATAAGACTAACGTTCATAATGATACCATGAGTGCTTTAGGGCGTCCACAAGATATGTTTTCAGATACTGCTATACAATTACAACCAGTCTTTGCTCAATGGATACAAAATACCCATGCTTTAGCACCTGGTGTAACAGCCCCTGGTGAAACAGCGAGCACCAGTTTGACTTGGGGGGGCGGTGAGTTAGTAGCAGTGGGTGGCAAAGTAGCTTTGCTACCTAGGAACCGCAGATTTTTTAGTCCATCACATTCACGCATTTACAATCCATGTGACTGTATTAATACTTTTGAAAGGTGTTTTATTTGCTCGCAGTTCCCGTTTGATACCCGATAAAGCAAATCTTGGTTTTCGCTTCCCTTGCGATGGGCCTGGGCGAGGGGGAACATGTCAAGTATCCGCCTGGGATCATGTTTTCTTACTTCTTAGGACTATTCTGGATGTACAATTCAATTTCGGTAGTAATATTCCATTTCAGTTGGAAAATGCAGTCAGATGTTTGGGGTACTATAAGTGATCAAGGGGTGGTAACTCATATCACAGGAGGAAATTTTGCGCAGAGTTCTATTACTATTAATGGGTGGCTACGCGATTTCTTATGGGCACAAGCATCCCAGGTAATTCAGTCTTATGGTTCTTCATTATCTGCATATGGCCTTCTTTTCTTAGGTGCTCATTTTGTATGGGCTTTTAGTTTAATGTTTCTATTCAGCGGACGTGGTTATTGGCAAGAACTTATTGAATCCATCGTTTGGGCTCATAATAAATTAATCAAATCGTTTGGGCTCATAAATAAATTAAAAGTTGCTCGCTGCTACTCAGCCTAGAGGCCTTGAGCATTATACAGGACGTGCTGTAGGAGTAACGCCATTACCTTCTGGGTGGAATTGCCAACAACCATGGGCGTTCTTCTTTAGCAAGAAATTATTGCAGTAGGATAATGGCATAGGTAGGGATTTGAAAAGGCATTATGGCATTAAGATTTCCAAGTTTAGCCAAGGCTTAGCTCAAGGACCCCACTACGATCGTCGTATTTTGGTTTGGTATTGCTACCGCACATGACTTCGAGAGTCAATGTATGATATTAGCGGAGGAAACGGCTTTATCAGAATATTTTTGCTTTCCCACTTCGGACAATTAGCAAATAATTTTTCTGTGGACTTCCCGGAAATCCTCTTTCGTTAGCTTGGCAAGGAAATTTTGAAGCATGGGTACAGGACCTTTACACGTAAAGACCTATTGCTCATGCAATTTGGGAATCCTCAATTTTTGGCCAACCGGCCGTGGAAAGCTTTTACTCGAGGGGCGCCCCTGGCCCAGTGAATATCGGCTTATTTCTGGTGTTTTATCAAATGGTGGTATACAAATCCGGTTTACGTTACAAAACGAACGATCTTTATATGGAGCTCTTTTTCTATTATTTCTTTCTGCCTAGCCTTATTAGGGGGTTGGTTTACACCTCACAACGAAATGGAAAACCGAGCGTTTCGTGGCGCGGAATCTCGTCTCAATCATCATTTGTCAGGACTTTTCGGGGTAAGTTCTTTGGCTTGGACAGGACATTTAGTTCATGTCGCTATTCCAGCATCCAGGGGAGAGTACGTTCGATGGAATAATTTCTTAGATGTATTACCCTATCCACAGGGGTTGGGACCCCTTCTTACGGGTCAGTGGAATCTTTATGCCCAAAACCCCGATTCGAGTAATCATTTATTTGGTACCACTCAAGGAGCGGGAACTGCTATTCTAACTCTTCTTGGGGGATTCCATCCACAAACACAAAGTTTGTGGCTGACCGATATTGCTCATCATCATTTAGCTATTGCATTTATTTTTCTCATTGCCGGTCATATGTATCGAACTAACTTCGGAATTGGGCACAGTATCAAAGATCTTTTAGAGCACAGTTAAAAGATCTTTAGAAGCACATATTCCTCCCCGGGGGGGGGGGGGCATGGGGAGTGGACATAAGGGTCTTTTATGAACACAAATCAACATTCGCTTCATTTTTCAATTAAGGCCTTGCCTCTAAAAAAAGTTCTTTAGGGGTTATTACTTCCTTAGTAAGCTCAAACAGCATGTACTCATTAACCTGCTTATGCATTCATAGCGCAAGAACTTTTTTACTACTCAAGCGCGTTATATACTCATCACCCAATACATCGCAAGGATTCCCATCATGAACAGGAAGCTTTTGCTCATGAGCCTATAGTTTTTTTATATTAGAGATTACAATCCGGAACAGAATGAGGATAATGTATTGGCAAGAATGCTAGACCATAAAGAAGCTATCATATCCCA